ACAAGAGAAGATTACTCATTAATTATTACTTTTAGGATTATGACCTCCTTCATTTCCTCAAATAAAAATATCTGTTTAATCATTTACAGTATTTCTGGACTGCTTCTGTTCTAAAATGTGCTACTCTTATTTAAATGATTGTCCAGACAATATTTACATTTTTTCCAGGACTGGGATAAATTTGAGTAAAATGCTTTTTTACTGCCTCCACTTTTGTAAATGGCAGCATTTATATAGCGCTATTAACCAAAGCGCTATACATTCACCCAATCACACACTCACACGCCGATGGCGTGAGCCATCATGCAAGATGCTGGCATGAGCATCACGAGCAGTTTAGGGTTTCGCGTCTTGCCCAAAGACACTTCGACATGGTGACAGAAGGAGCTGGGGATCAGCTGATGACCCGCTCTACCTCCAGTTGTATGCATGCTAATGTACATTTATGTTGTCCACATATCCAGAACCCTGTTCCTTGTATTCCTTATCAGTCCACTTCTCCAGGAAGGACGTTTAAACATTGTTCTTTTGAACTCCACCTGAAGAAAAGCCAGAGAAGAAAACACCATGATACTTCCATGATACTGCACACACATAATCTTGTAATCTTGCAGGTCACCCCGGTAACGCAGCCAGCGCAGTTGAATAAATGCTGTTATAATTTTAAGAAGTTGTTGCCTGTGATTATTTGTGTATAATCTTGTAGTTAGAGTTGGTTACCACGGCCAATGTGCAGATTCACTCTTCTGTTTGCCATCAGTAGGTGGACAAACCCTCTTTTAGACTGATCATATTTGGTTATTGGTCCCTGATTCCAGGGTGGTGCCCCATATAATAATTGTAATTAATAATTTTGAATATTAATAGTTTAATTAATATTTCTAGAATATCTTTGATATTCAGCTAATAACCAAACCTGACCATATGTTGAAAACCCCAACATGTGTATTGTACCTGGTATTACTGCTGATGTCCTGCAGTCTCTCCAGAAGTCGCCTCCTCCATCTCTCTCATCCTGCTCAACGTCCTCCTCCATCCTCTCCTCCCCTTCTGCTTCCTCCCTCTCCTCCTCCTCCTCTGATCTCCTCTCTCCCTCCCTGGCTGCTGGAGTGCAGATCAGTCGCCCTCGCTGCCTCTGGCTGCGCCGGACCTTGCAGGCAAGGCCCTTCCTCCTGTGCCCCAGAGAGGAGAGAGTTGCGGTTGTTGCGGGACTGAGGGACGAGGACAAGGTGGAACATGAGGCTGCAGGGGACACCGATAGTGGGCAGTGGGCTGGTGAGGAGTTGATAGGTGTGGACAGAGGATTGCTGGCAGTAGATGTTATGGCTGCAGAGGGCTGTGTGCGTGAGCTTGATGAGGGGCAGGGTGTCTGGAAGGGTGAATGTTCACTGCGTCCTCCGGCTCGGGATATGGGGCATAGGTGGAGGATGCACAGACTGTGGACGAATCAGGCGCTGTAGAGCAGCCAGCTGCTTCACTGTCAGCAGGACCTCTGGGAGGAGAGTCTAGGAAAACACAAGAAAATAAATAATGAGCAGATATTGTGAACAGTTTGACTGTGACACGTGTACTAAGTAATAATTATGCTAATATTTTGTAGATCCTTGATGGGAAAATAAGATTCTTGCTTCTGTGTTTCCTCCTACCAGGGCCACTGCTGGTCTGCGACTCATCCGTCATTGGTGGCTCTGCCTCCTCTTGGATGGTTGGTACTGATGCTAGTAGACCTGACACACACACACACACACACATACATACACAGTGATGTAATCCTCCTCCCTACCGTAAGGTGTATCTATATAAAAGTGCTAAATTTACTTCCACTCCAACGAAGGAATCTGTAAACAAAATGTTCAATTTTAATTCAACATTTCATAATTCCTTTTACAGCAATTGTATCTCTTCATGATTTTGTTGAAAGTGTAAAAGAGTGAGAAAGGCAAGCAGATGGATCTTTGAATTACAGTCTGGCTCCAAATGCACGAAGTAAAGAAAATATCTGCAAGACTGGTACAGGAGGAGAGAAACATTGGATATGTGGCTCCTGTTGTGCAATATCATTATTTTCTTAAGTTAGTATTTAACTTTTACATGTGAGCTTTGTATGTGAGGTGTGCATGTTAAGGAGCTGACATCATACAGGAGCTGTTTAAGCAGTCATAATCACACAGGGTTGTCCATATTTAGTCAACGATCTATTAGAACAGGGCTGACTCAATGCCACAGGCCACTGAAATATTAATTATGATGTTAAGTAAAGACAACTTTACTGTGTTCACTCATTTTAAATGTCGACACAGCCGTGGTCATTAACCTGTGGTTATGATGACCGTTTCAGGCGATGACATGGTTTAAGGAAGGATTTGCAGTGCAGCACAGCAGACAGCTGTAAGTAACTACTGTGTCCAGATTCTGCATCACACCTCTTTTCACTTTCATGGAGGTTTCCGTGTACTAACTTTACCTCGAGTGGAGGCTTTCAGGTCCTGCTGCGTGCTATTACTAAAAGGCTTCAAATGGAGTTTTTAACTAAAACTAGAACATTTGATCGTATCGCGCACGATTTTGTCTTGCCTTCATTGGCTCCCTATTCATGTCAGACAGACGTGCCTCTGATGACTAACAAAACTGTATATGGCCAACACCTTCCAGACGGTCTGATCTCCTAAACCTTATACTCCATTCTGTGTGTGTGTGTGTAGTCTTGTTAGTTCACTTACTGAGTCCTCTGTAATGGGAGAGTTGCTGGTAAACTTGTTTCATTCTCTCTATGTTGAGCCTGCTGCCCTCTGCATGATTAATCATTGGTTTGGGGTAATCCACTCCCACCACACAGTTGGCTGCCTTCTGGACCGACTCCGGGGCATTCCACGGCTCATAGATGTACCGATTCGGGTAGTCTTTCAAGATGGGGATGTAATGCCTGAAGAAAAGTCATATTAAAGCTCACATGGAGGAAAGATCCCTAAGTTAGCAGAGATTTAATATGGAAAAGGATGTGGTATGGTAAGAGATACTGTGCAAGTGCCACAATAAAGTCTACCTGATGTAGTCTCCTGATGGGTCAGTTCTCCTTCCAAAGCCGACAGGACAGTAGCAGTGGAAGAACTGCTGGAAGAAGGCACTGCAGGACAGCCACATCCAGCTGCCAGCATTTACACTCCAGTCTGCATCCAGCAGCAGCTCCTCAAACACCTGCAGGAACACACAGACACAGAATGCTTCATGATGTACACCAGGACTATTCTATCACAAATTCAATTGGGCCAGATTTTGAAAGCAGGAGGTGGAGATGGGCCGGACACTTTCTCACGAGTTGGGATAGGTATCATTAGGATTTTGATACATTCTTATTGATAGTTTTTCATTACTAAGTAATTGCCTTTTAAAGATTTAAAAAAAGAAAACATTCAAAATAGGATTAGAATGGATTTTTTTATTATAACTAAATGTTTATTAATAATAACAGTCACTAATATCTCACTGGAAGCAAATCTAAAAAGTCAGTCAAATAAATCATATTCCTCACATTATAATACTGAGTGAAGTTTAGAAATACTGATAAACTCAGTCCTTATCGGTCCTTCCTCCTCCTCCCTCTGCTGCTGCTAGTAGAGAGGGGCTGGTTTGTCTCAGCCAGCAGCAAAGTTTATATACAGGTGAAACTTGAAAAATTAGCATATCGTGCAAAGGTTTATTTTTATTTCAGTAATTCAACTTAACTTAACTAATATATTATATAGACTCATTACATGCAAAGTGAGATATTTCAAGCCTTTATTTGATATCATTTTGATGATTATTGCGTACAGCTTAGGAAAACCCCAAATTCTAAATCTCAGAAAATTAGAATATTACATGAAATCAATAAAAAAAAGGATTTTAAATAAAGAAATGTCAGCCCTCTGAAAAGTATAATCATGCATATGTACTCAGTACTTGGTTTGGGCCCTTTTGCATGAATTACTGCCTCAATGCGGCGTGGCATGGATGCTATCAGCCTGCGGCACTGCTGAGGTGTTATGGAAGACCAGGATGCTTCGATAGCGGCCTTCAGCTCTTCTGCAGTGTTCGGTCTCATGTCTTTCATCTTTCTCTTGGCGATGCCCCATAGATTCTCTGTGGGCTTCAGGTCAGGCCAGTTTGCTGGCCAATCAAGCACAGTAATCCCATGGTCACTGAACCAGGTTTTGGTACTTTTGGCAGTGCGGGCAGGTGCCAAGTCCTGCTGGAAAATGAAGTCAGCATCTCCATAAAGCTCGTCTGCTGAAGCATAAAGTGCTCTAAAATGTCCTGGTAGACGGCTGCGCTGACTCTGGACTTAATAAAGCACAGTGGACCAACAGCAGCAGATGATGACATGGCTCCCCAAACCAACACAGACTGTGGAAACTTCACACTGGACTTCAAGCATCTTGGATTGTGAGCCTCTCCGTTCTTCCTCCAGACTCTGGGACCTTGGTTTCCAAATGAGATGCAAAATTTGCTCTCATCAGAAAAGAGGACTTTAGACCACTGAGAAACAGACCAGTTCTTTTTTTCTTCAGACGTTTTGTTGTTCAGGAGCGGCTTGATTTGAAGCCCGTGTCCAGGACCCGTCTGTGTGTGGTGGCTCTTGATGCAGACATCCACACATTTGAACGGCCTTTTCCTGACCATCCTCTCCAGGCTACGGTCATCCCTGCTGCTTGTGCACCTTTCTCTTCCACACTTTTCTCTTCCACTTAACTTTCTATTAATGTGCCTTGATACAGCACTTTGGGAACATCCAACTTCTTTTGCAATTACCTTTTGAGGCTTTCCCTCCTTGTGGAGGCTGTCAATGATGGTTTGTCAGGTCAGCAGTCTTCCCCATGATTGTGAATTCCACTGAACCAGACTGAGAGACCAATTAAAGGCTCAGGAACCCTTTGCAGGTGTTCTGGATTAATTAGCTGATTAGAGTGTGACACTTTGAGCCTACAATACTGAACCTTTTCACAATATTCTAATTTTTTGATTTTGGGGTTTTCATAAGCTGTACGCAATAATCATCAAAATTATATCAAATAAAGGCTTGAAAATCTCACGTTGCATGTAATGAGTCTATATAATATATTAGTTTCACCTTTTTAAGTTGAATTACTGAAATAAATGAACTTTTGCACGATATGATAATTTTTTGAGTTTCACCTGTATGATAAATTTTAATGTACGCAGCAAACTAAGCTGAACAGTTACTAAAGACAGACATCTTGCACTTTAGCTTGTTTTGTGTTGATTGGCTTTTTACTCCCAAAGATTTTATTGCACCACGTACTTTCTCGTCCACTAATGAGCATAGTCACTGATCTGCTGGCTGACTCTGTGCGCTCGTGGAGGCGCTCTGCAGCAACACAGAGGGGGACAGGCTGCTTGCTGAGTCCTGGCTTGGCGGTGATCGGTACAGTGCATGTGAAACTCTCAGCAGAGATGAGAAGGAAATGAAATAGCGCTCTCGTTAGCTACTTCCATACACTGCGTATGGAGTTTACTTTTGTTGTCATATATCAGATTATGTATGATGGGACACACGGAGGTTGCTTCTGGGCCAGATGTGGCCTGCGAGTCGCCAATTGAATAGGGCTGATGTATACCCATTTATCAATTCATACTACAGTGAACTTGACACAAACAGCCATTGATGCTGCCAAAGTAGACGGTGTAAAAGCAAACGCGGTTCATGTGTTCTCCGCCTCACAGTTTGTGTTTGAAAAGACTAAATTAAAGACGGTTCTGTCCTACCTTCATGCCGCTCTCCCAGCTGATCCACAGGTCTCCCCTGGTGAGGAAACAGGCCACGGCATGTCGGGCCAGGTGGTGGATCCAGCCCTCCTGTCTCAGCTGGGTCATGATAGCGTCAATCCAGGGAAAACCAGTCCGACCCTCAGCCCACTTAGCCAGTGCCTCTGGGTTCTGGTCCCATGGGATCTGGAGATGTATGACACACGAGAGAAATATTAACTATAGTACATACTCTTCTGTTATGTACATGTTTATAGTGCTATAGCTGGTTAGTACACAACACTGGTTCTATTTCAGATTATTTATCATCTGTGAATAAACAGCTTCATTAAATCTGGATATCCACATGAGCTCATGGTCAGAAAAGGAAAGAGGGGAGGAATAAGATTTTACAAGTTTAGCTGTGGTGAAGCTGGAAGCTTGAGTCTGAGGGACAGCTGTGGGGGAAGGGAGAGAGGATCAGAGAGGAAATCAATCATAATTTAATTAACTTTGCATCTGATCTGATTCTGATAAATGATGGTATTTATGAGCCCCTCCCCACAAGGCTGTGCTCTATGAACTACTTATTATTTCTTTATTTATATTATACTTATTATTCTAAATACCAGCACTAGGTGTGATCTGAGAGGAGCAGACTAGCAGAAACCCCGGCGAGGGGAAATGCAGTTCAGCCGGGCTACTGACAACACATCCAATACAGGCCGAACAAATCTATGAGTATTGTGGTAAAACATACTATAATCATGACTATTTGGATAGTTCAGTTGGACCACAGTGCTTGAGAAGCTGCCCTTTACATAAAATGTCTCACCCTCCTATAAAACAGCTTCTGGCCTCATATCCATAGGACATTATGACCTACTGTAATGGTCTACAAGAGCTGATTGGTGCAAAGGCCCACCTGGACACAGATGGGGTTTCCCTCCATGCGGTCAAAGTTTGGGTTGTTGGTGGCAGCTGTGTAGAAGAACTCCCTCCATAACAACTGGCCAAACAGGGACAGAGGAGGACTGCAACGCTTTCGGAGCTGATGGCAGGCACAAGAAAGAACGAACAACAGAGGAGAGAGAAGAAGAGAGCAGTGGATTGTCATAATTGAGAGGGAACAGAGTGGAGTACGTTTGTGTAGCCTGAACTGATATCTCTCTGAGTATCCACAGTACCTTCATGTAGAGCTCTCTGAGGTTGTAGTACAGAACCCTACAGGACAGACAGCCGAAGCGCAGGTAGGGGCTGAGGCCAGTAGGACTGGCATACAGAGAACACCTGTTTACTCGAGGATGCTCAAAGTTGGCTACCCACACCTGTACGGACAAACACGGTGAGGGCATTCAAGTCATCACCCGAGATATCGTCAATGTAAAAACAAATCTTTTTCAATTATATTGTTATGATGTATAATGCTGTGGATTAAATAACATTAGTCCCTAAACATAGATATTAATCATATTAAACTACTTTAAATTCTCAGATAGTGGCCAGGACCTTTATTCCTCTACATACAATTAATATATTTTAGTAAGAAGCCTTCCTGTTTCGTGCTCCTGTTTTCATTTGTTGATGAAGTTAATGCAATTATGTTGCCTTGATTAATTCACTTTGGTGTACCTTTTCAACAACAACAACACGATCAAGTCAAAGTCTTGACTCATTCACTCATAGTTTCTCTACTCTGACGCTTTTTAGATTGTAGTTAAGCTCCCATCATTGAAACTCAACACTTCCTGCACCAATGTTTGACATTAAAGACCTTTAATGTCAGCTTCTGGTTTACCTTTTTGTCCAGATGTTTGTTGAGTCTGTCTGAGGCCTCTGACTCTCCTCCTCGCCACACAGCTGGAGGTAAACCCTCTGTCCTGAACCCTGGACACATATTCCCATGGAGACAAGGTCAAATATAAAGCAGCCATTATCTGATGAACCACACTTTGCCCAAGTGCTAACTGTTCTCTATATGCTAATCCCCATTTAATAATTTTAATGTGACTATTATTTACTGTATGTCTAAGGACTTGAGGAGTTTATTACAATTTATGGTATTTTATTTACTAAACTTCTGAATGGAATCTAGCTTGATGCAATTGCCACACAGGAGACAAGGACACATTTTTGGACTAAACTTGAACTCCAGTTGCTCTGGTAGGATACGAGGACAGCGTGCTAGTGTTCAGTTGCATCCAGCAGTGTGGAATTATTTATCAAATCAAACCCAACAGTAATGAATAAATCCAACCACGTCCTCTCTCCTAGATCCTAGCTGTCCCTCAGTATAGCCAGAGAACAGCTAAATGTAAAGAGTAAGGAGTCCTACAGCACTCATATTCAATTCTAAAAAAATGAATGACAAACAATCATGTATACCTAGTTCTTCCAGTGAAGGGATACTGTATAGTTGGTCATGGTTGTCAGCTATTTTAGTGTGACAATTGTCCATCTGCTGCTTGGTGATGGGAGGCAGTGGTCTCCTAGGCAACTCCAGTCTGCTCACAATGGTCTGAAACCGCTTAAAGGTCAGAGGAGGACTGTTGTTGTTCATCTCTATTATCCTGTGACCAATACAGAAGATAGAAAAGTATAGCAATATACAGCAGAATTTATGTAACATAACAATTATTTATCTTATGTAAAATGTTGACATTTTGTCATGAGTGTTGCACTGGAGAGTATCCAAAATGAAAAAAGGTTCATCATGTTGTCTGAGGGTGGCCAGAATACCAATAACAGTGTCATTTCTAGGAATTCTTGCCAAAATCTTCTCCATTTTCCCCAAGACCGACACCTGTGGGGACCGACCGACCGACCGACACCTGTGGGGACCGACCGACACCTGTGGGGACCGACCGACCGACACCTGTGGGGACCGACACCTGTGGGGACCGACACCTGTGGGGACCGACACCTGTGGGGACCGACCGACCGACACCTGTGGGGACCAGGTATTTGTGGCAACTGTGTGCTTGAACGGAAGTTTCAGTTGCAGTGGTTTCTTTTCTAAAATGATACTTTACCATTCAGCTGTATGGCAAAATATTGTTTTGAACAAGTGCAAAGACATGTGCAAGTCTGTGTTTATTATTGATATACAGGAGTCTGCACAGGATGTTTTATTTTGAAAATTGACAAGAATCTCTATGCCGTTCTGTGTCTGACTTCGTGCCTGGTTCGATCTGCTCTGTGCAGCTTGACATGGCTTTGGCAGTACTCTACTGTTTGAACTTCTGAAATGCATCCAAGAGTGATAGTTTCATCAAAAATTGTTTCCTACCATCACTGAACTATACCTTCACAAGTAACTAGGAAACTGAGCCTCTTTTTTATTTCAACCTCCAGGTTGTTTTGCCAGTGCATCTGACAGCAGAGCTCTGTATTTATAGCTTCTACCTTATACAACTCCACTATATCTGTGAGGCCCTTCTGGATCCCTGGTGGAGTTGCAGCAGGGATAGCTTCCTATTGGTCGATTCACTGCGACTACTTTGATGAGCAGGGTAAGCTGGGCACAACTACCAATATAAACCCTCTGGGCATCTGAGCACACGCACAACGCTAAGCTCCGTCCTGTCTAATCCGCTCAGAGTATTCTTAACACACACACAGACGTAATATTTCAATTTGTTATGTAATGCAGTGAATTGAAGTGCAGGTATTACATATGTAACACCTGCAGGTCTGGATGCTCTCAGTGTACGGGCAAGACACAGCAAGACATAATTTAGGTGCTACTGCCTCAAAAGCACCACAGGTGTTCAGCCGTCTGCGTGAGACAGACAAATATAGCTTATTTGACGTAAGAGAGCGACCTGATGAGTAACGGTGAAGCATTTCAGCCACATCTGCAGGAGCCTGACTGAGCTCTGCAATTAATGGACACAATCACATCTACAGAGAATTTAGCCAACAGAACATATTCAGTATAAGGGATCACAGGAAAATGCCAAGAAGTAATTCATCATTAAGGCCCCTAGGAGCCGATGTTTGAGGAGTCTGAATACTGGAATTTTAGCCAGTGTGTCACACCATAAATTGATGCAGAAAGATTTACCTGAATGCAGGAAATTAAGCGTTTAATAATTTTCATAATTCGGCTTTTAAGATCTTAAAATAATGTTACAATCTCATCTCGATCTCGGGACCTCAGTCTTGTGAGCCAAGTGTCTAGATGTATTGCTACAGGTCCATCTACAAATTTAACATGCAACATTTGGGAATGTAGCTTAGCCTTTGGAGTAACTAGGAGTCCACTGCTTTGTGTTACGGCTGCCGGAGCTAATCGTGGCCATGCTAGTCAATGAGTCCACAGCGCGTCCCTGATGCAGCTCTTCACTCCGAGACACAACCAGTGTCTCGGAGTCTATTTTTGGCAGAACCGGCGTCAAGCTGCGCAGTTCACATCAAACCAGACAGGAAGTCAGACACAGAACGGCATAGAGATTCGGTCAACTTTCAAAATAAAACACCCTGTGCAGAAAAACAGAAACCGTTTAACAACGTAGCCTACTTAATCATAAAAGCACAATTACCAAATCAACAAAATCTAAAATGTCAGAAAAATCTGGTAGGCAAAATGACTCAGGGATCAGCATAGCAGACGACGGAACAACACCGAGTCACAGAGAGCCGTGCTCCGCTCCTGAAACTGGTCAGAGACACTTCCAGTCGACCCCGGGCCGAGGACGGATCAAAACCGTGGCCCGCAGTAACGCGATGCAGCCAGACTCAGTCGACTTTCCAGGTAAGAGCTGAACTAGAGCGGCATCTGCAGGGATACAGCCATTTCTGACTGTAACATCAGCGTCTTTGCTGGGTGGGTGTTCCCAAGCACACCTGCTATTTTGGTTCATACATGTGCAGCAGTGCAACAATTTGAATTCTACTTTATCTCATATAATGAACTGTCATAACATGCCTTACAATGGTGTTTTGCACCATACTAGATTTCAGGAATAAAACACGAATCGCTGATGTCAGTGTTTACCAACCCAAAGTGAGCACAATATGAGTGTGTGTGTGGGTGTTACGAACCTATCCAGGTTGTAGAGGGTGTGTGAGTTTCTGACAATGGTCTCCACTCCAAACTCTTGGGCCATTTTGATGATGGCCCCATCTCTCTCCTTCCCATAAGGCTCTGGGTCATATTCAAATGTCAACCGAGTCACTTCCCACTCCTGCAGCGAGGCACAGAAAGAAAGAAAGAAAGAATTTGTTAGAAAGACAGCAAGACAATAGCAGGCTGTGTAGCAGGGCTGAGGATAACTATGTAAAAAACCAAACAACACTGGTCATGAAACCATTGAAGTGTTTGGATTCAACATTGGTCTCAGCTTGTGCTTTCTGTAATCCAGCTCAAGGTGCACCTTTATACAATGCAACAAACCAGGTCACAGTTAAATGTAAAATACATGCTACAAGCTACAGTTTGAAGACTAATTGTGGACAGTTTGGACAGAAAGTTCTTTCTCACCCGTAGTTCAGTTCATTTGGTCCAGACAAAGCTAAATAAAAAGATATTTTAACACAACTTTAACTTTTAGTTCTGGTCCGACGCTAATTTGAACAACCCAAGAGGAGTAAACATGTCAAGCTATAATATTGCACATTAGCCTCTGCACATATTGAATATGATATGGATATCTTTTTTAATTTTTCAATCTTGCAACTTATTGATTAGTCAGCAACTATACAGTAGTTTAGCTTTTGAATGCTCTGCTTTCAAACCACAATAAATTCCCAACATTCCACTTGGAAGTAGACAGAGACCCTCCTTTTCAAGCTGTCTTGGTTGTTTGGGTTGGTGGATTGTACATCAGAGTAGGACTGACAGCTTTCACACCAGCCCCAACAAACCAAACGGGATTATGCACCAGAGTTTGTTCATGTGAAAAATTGGTGGGGTGATACATTTCTGTCACATGTCTATAAACAAAAAGTGTTATTTGCAGGTAACTAGTCTTCTAAGGGCTGGAAGTGAAGGCTGGAAGGAGAGCCATTATCCTCATTATTATCAGTTCTAATTTATTAAGTTTAAAAAGGCCACAGATTTAGTACGAATATATGGACACTAGTACAAACATAAGATCAAGTAGTGGAGCAGGAAGGTCCAATTTCTTGTAAGAAGTCTTGTGATTTATATTTTCATCCCATTCAAACTCTATAGTAGCTCATTTATCTGACCAGTAGGATGTGTTAATGACAAAGCTACAGTGTTAGGTTGGAATGAAAAACTGCAGACTATTGGGTTTCCATTGCATATAATGGAAAACCAGCAGTGTTTTATGTAATTGCTATTGTATAGAGATGGTCAATTGGTCCTCCTTGCCTGGAACCCCACAGTGAATCTCCTCATAAATGTTAACACCGTCTGCAGCTGCTCTAACATGGTTTAGTGCAGTGTGAACATGCACACTATGTAAATTATACTGTATTGCATTGACATTCAAGTCACTGAAATAACTGAAGTAAGTGTGTGCTTAGTCACACAACACAATAATCATGTTTCTTGGCACCAACTCAGTTTCAGTGATTGTCACTCCTCCAAACAGCACCACATCAGGGTGGGTTTAATACATCCTGAAAACATTACTGCTGGTAAGGCTACAGGTGCAATAGCTCTACAAACTCACTATACATGACCAGCAGTTGACTCCAGATGAATGATAATGTTCCTTTGTAATTATTGGATGTATTTATTGAATTATTGGATGAACTTAAAAGGTGATATGTCAATGTTGTGCTCGCAGTTTGCTTCTGCTGTCCCCGTAAGGCAAAAATAAAATACTTTTCTTTATTGCAGGTTTTCTAAACCTGTCTGTTCTACTCCAAACTTTGGTACATTTACCATATTTGGTCATGGTTTCTGCAGAGTCAACCATGTTATGTTTTAAAGCTTTTTAATGTCACAGAGAATGGCATTTAATACCTGGATCACTGTCATACCAGTCAAAGTATGAACGTACAGTGGCAAGAAAAAGTATGTGAACCTTTTGGAATATCATGTTTTTTTTCCTGCATATATTTGTCATAAATGTGATCTGATCTTCATCTAAGTCAAGGGTACTGACAAATAATGTGTCTAAAATAATAAAGTAAATTCTGATCCCTCATGTCTTTATTGAGAGCAACCAAACCTCATAGTGCTTGTGGAAAAAGTTTGTGAACCCTTGAGTTAATGAAAAAAAGCTAATTGGAGTTAGGTTTCAGCACACCTGGAGTCTCGTTAAGAAAATGAGTTTGGAGGTGTGGACTACAATCTACTTTGACTGATAAAAACCCCTCAAACTTTTGGAGTTTGCTCTGCACAAGAAGTACACGCTTATGTGAGCCATGCCTCGCCAAAAGAGCTTTCAGAGGATCTACGATCAAGAATTGTTGGTTTACATAAAGCTGGCAGAGGTTACAAAGTCATTTCAAAGACTTTAGAAACACACCAGTCTACAGTTAGGCAAACATTTTACATCTGGAGACACTTTGGGACTATTACTACTCTACCAAGCAGTGGCGCCCAGTCAAAATGACACCAAGAGCACAACAAAGACTCATTAATGAGGTAAAGAAACAACCCAACCCAAATCCTTTTTTTATCCATTTTTTTGGATAGAAGCGTCAGCTAAATGAATAAATGTCATGTGTCTACATGTCGTAAAACATTGAACAAGCAGAGTATCTACAACAGGACACCACGAAGGAAGCCACTGCTTACTAAAAAGAACACTGCTGCACGCCTGACGTTTGCAAAAGAGAACATTGGTGCTCCACAGCAGTACTGGCAAAAGGTTTTGTGGACTGATGAAACTAACATTGAACTACTTGGACAAACCACACAGCACTACATCTGGCGTAGAAGGGGCTGGGCATTTCATCATGAAAACATCATCCCAACCGTAAAGTATGGTGGAGGAGACATCATAAAATCGGGCCAGCTTTGCTGCATCAGGGCCTGGCCAGCTTGCAATCATTAAGGGGAAGATGAATTCCCAAGTATATCAGACAATTCATCAGGATAATGTGAGAATGTCTGTACGTCAGCTGAAACTGTGTGGAAGTTGGGTGATGCAACAGGACAACGACCCAAAACACCGGAGCAAGTCCGGCTTAAGAAAAACAAAATCCAACCAGTTGTTGTTGAATGAGTGTGTTCAATAAAGACATAAGGGATCAGAATTTACTTTATTTTAGACACATTATATCGGTCAATACCCTTGACTTAGATGAAGATCAGATCACATTTTATGACAAATTTAAGCAGAAAACCATAAAATTCCAAAAAGGTTGACATACTTTTTCTTGCCACTGTATGATGTTGTAGCCTGAATGGGAATGACATAAATTACGGAACATTGCGTGCAATAGGTCTTCTAATCCCTCATTTGACTTGTATGATTGGTGTTCAGACTTTATTATGGTGTTGACAGATCACAAGTCAAGTTATACAATATCTCTACAGTATTTCGAGGTATCAAACAGATAATCTTCAGCTTTGGCAAACATTTCAATGGATAGTATATTATTGTCTGACAAGCACAAACTTTAAGTCAATATCACACAAGTTCCTGCTTCACCATGGTCACTGGTCTGACGTGACTAATGTGTCGTCAGGATAACTTCAGTAATCTCTACACTATTGCTTTGATTACTTGAGTAATTTTATTAGGTGATGTTTCGCATAACACTTTCCACACTTTTCCTGATGAGCCTGTTCAGTCTGAAATGAGACTCTGGATTTTCCATTCCAGTTAGAGGGTTATCTTAAACTAGAAAACCTACTCGCTGGTTAGATATTAGTTTGTTAACCAAACATGATCTTAAACGCTTATGATCCATCTGTCATCAATGTAAGGACTGCAATCGCCATCTTGGATTTATCCTCGGCACAGAATAAAATGCATAGGCTACACCGTCCTTCTTTAGAACACTGCGACTGTGGATATCAAGGCAGCTGTCAGGTTGTCACCGGTTGCACTGAAACATTTACCATGTGCTACATTAGTGCAGTATCACTGTTTGAATCTAATAAATCTGAACATTCATTCGTTGTAATTAGATCATAGTTATCACGTTGGAGATGATGTGAATGTTTGAGTGAGGATGATTGTGGTGCAGCTGAAACGACTTTAAAAATGGACTAAACATAGTTTAAAAGTGAGTCTTTGATAATTAGCTGCTTAGTCTTATTGTGTTTTGACAGTATTTCATTAAATGCCAAATGAGCAAGATTTTTTAATGTAAAACAGACGTCTCAATTTACACTCAGTTTGAACAAAGCCACATTTTCCACTGCAAATCACCAAAATAATTAATAATGGGTCGGACTGTGACTGTACAATCACATTTCAAGTTCAGTTATCACAACCAGGTGACACAGGATGGGAAATTAATGTGTTGTTTGAACATTAAAGCATGTAATTGGTATATTAGTACACCAGCAGCCATACCAATGTAAACCATGCTACTGACTGAAGCTAAGCAGGTTTGTGCTTGGCCAGCACCTGGATGGGAGACCTCCTGGGAAAACTAAGTTGCTGCTGGAAGAGGTGTTGGAGGGCCAGTAGGGGGCAGTTTTCCCTCTGGTCCTAAATAATAAGACCTCAATGATGGAGACACTGTGCTGTACGAGCTACCGTCTTTCGGATGAGACATTAAAATGAGGTCCTGACTCATTGTGGTCATTAAAAATTCCATGGCACTTGTCACAAAGAGTATGGAGTTCTAATCATCCCCTGTGGTAATTGGCTTAATGTTTCCCGCTCTGCCTTAAACTGATGTGTTGTGGCGCTAAGTGGGTGCTACACATTGGCGGTGGTTGAGGAGACTTCTTTTGGTCGTGAACGGTTGATGTTTGCATGGTGTATGTTTTGTTGGACAGGAATACAGACCTTTAAAAGCCTTGGGAAAACATCAGTAGGCTGCCCTCTGACTACAAACAATCTGGAGTTGAGCTTCTTCAGACTGCTGTCCAGGTCTTCCAGAGCCTCCAGCAGAAACCTGCACACAGACACACATAAGGGAAATGTAATTAGTAAGAAATATGACATACCTACAAGTCAGCAGGATGTGCAGCTGTGATGGCATTGATTGTTTTTCAGCACAGAGATCGGACCATTTCAGTCTATAACGTGCTTTTCATACAACCCCCACTCACCGGGTGATTTTTTATTAAAACTGACAGACTCAGGAATTCTGCTTCTATGGGGCAAAATGCTGACTCCAGCACCACAGCCTACTATCAGTAACTGTGATCTGAGGCTGTGGTCACTGTGTGAATGCTTTTCCAAACTGCAAAAACAGCACAATAAAAAGTTGGTGAAGTTTACGAGGTTTGACAAACTGTTGCACCTAATTGTCCATTTGTAGATTTGTATTCTTATGCATCAATGACAAAGTCATTTACTAAAATCTTGTCAGAAGCTTTTGGACAATTAATTGTGAGTCATCTTTCAAAAAAAAAAAAAAAAAAACATTTTCTGGTTCCAGCTTTTCCAATATGAGCATCTGATGTTTTTTTCTTGTTTAAATCATTGTAATATAGACTGTTTTGGAGTTTAGGATTATTAATTGGACACAACAATCAATCTGGAAAACTATTTTCAGACTTGACATTTAATTTTCTAAGTCAGGGGTATTCAATTAGAATTCAAAGAGGTCCAGTTAGAGAAACTTTCCTGAAGCAAAGGTCTGGAACATCAAAACAACTAACATGCGTTATCATTCAGTACCATAACGTATAGTTGTATCAACATGTGTTTTTAGTCAACAACAGACTGTCAAATCAAATGTCAGTTTTCACATCAAACTGGTGGGATAATAAATAATAACTACTCTAATAATAAATTTAAGTAAACTAAAATTAAGTGTCTAATTTTTAGAAAAAATGAAATAAAAAGTGTAGCTTTAAGTGATGAAGTGCAGTCTTAACCAATTTTATAATAAACACATAACAAATGAACAGAGAAAGTAGGAGCTACCTCTCCTACTTTCTCTTGTTCAGTGAGAAACGTGAGCTCTAGCTTGTCCTGCCAGCTAGCATCAGAGTTCTATGACCTATTCTGATTTTGAACTGCCTGTGGGAGGAACGTACATGTAAAAATCTGTACATTCTTGATTAAAAGCCATGTGAAATCTCTTTTCCCTTTCGTCTCCTCAATTCGTGTGTGCGCGGGTTAAAATAGAAACGCGCCGTCACGAGGTAGGAAGTTTCAATAATAAATCTGCTGTAGGTCGGCGGTCCGGAGAGGACAGCGGCTGGGTCCGGATCTGGACCACGGTCCGCCTATCAGTGACCTATGGTCTAAGTTATAGACCAGACAGTTAATTGATTAATTGAAAAAAAAAAACAAACTAATCAACAGCTGAATCAATTATGAAACTAGTTGTTACTTGCAGCCCTAAAACTGCCTCACATTAGTTGGCTGTGTATAGAAGCAGCATGAGGTTGGTTACGTTTGCATTAACAAATTGCTGCTGCAACAACTGCGCCTCCAAGCTCAGTTTTCTACCAGGAGTTGTTGATGAAAGAGTGAACATATGGTTGACATTAAAGGGAAATAAAGCAATGATGATGGTAATGAGCTCAGCCCTGAGGCATGAACCATCCCAACCCTGGTAGACGGGTCAGAAAATCCTTCAAGTGGTGGTTCCAGGTAAGAGTCACTGTGTCAACAAGCTTCCAGCTTCCTAAGGAGTCCTCCAGTTAGCTTACATTTATTGAGCCAATTAATCATTAGAACCTTCATCAACCAATCAGCACAAATGTTCTTTAATTCAACATTTAGTAATACTGAAACATAGATATAGACATAGATATAATTGGTCTTCCCTCCTCTTTTGTGTCTTCTAATCAGCATGTGGCACCTTTTCACTTCATTGACAGGTAAAATGAATTCATTGTAATTCTGTTAGAAACTCCTGGACTTTTAATAGCTCCTGTGTTTCAGCAGGTTTTCTGCTCATGTTCAAAACTTTTCGCACATTCAGAATCACAAATGTGTGTTCTCTGACATTGATATTTTCTGTATAAATTAATAATAAAAAATTGTAATATTACAAGATACTGATGATAGTATCCCCTTCAGACTGCCTGACAGGCACAGAACCATTTGGGAGTGCACTGGATAAGTGCGCCGCTCTTTATTGAAGGTGGAAAACTAAAACAAACTGAAAACACTTGTGATCAGGCAGAAATCCCACCACAAATCCACACAAATGTGAACTTCACTAGCTCTGATAAAGTGCAGCTTACATTCCCTTCAGTGGGAAGCAACCTGGAGCAGAGAGACAGTCCAAAACAGAGCAAAGATGTCTCGAACTACACTGAGACCACACTGCAGTCCAAACCTTTTACAAGTCTAAATACCTGGGGACTGCAGGAAATACTAACACATGCACATATGACTCCAAGAAACCTCTTAAATGCCTTATTTTCTGGTATATTACACATTTTCTGATAATATTATTTTTACTCAAGATTTTACTTCAAAATCTCAGATTACTATCATTTGTTTAATGACAAATGCCCTAATAATCTGTCGTAGTTGACAAACTACAATTCCATCTTTTGGTTACTACAATTCCATCTTTTGGTTTATAAATAGTTAGTTATTCTCACAGTGGTTATATATTATTTTGATAGAACATTATTGCTAGAGACAATTCAGTAGTCGCTGGATATTGGTAGGAATGTGCAAGGCCAGCCAGTGGCATAGGCAACATAGGCCGCTGCCAAGGGCGCAAAATATCAGGAAGCTCTGCACGAGAAGGATTTTGATTTGGCACAAGCACGAATCAGCTCCGCCCAGCCGCTGCGACGCCGGCATACGCCGAGATAGTAATTAAGTGCACCTCGTGCTGTGAGTCCTGACAGTTCTGAGGAGTCGTGTCGTGTAGAGTTTTGCAATATACACATCTAAAACCTGAGGCGCAGCCTTGCTCTGTTTGGGACTGTGAGCTACACTTTACTGGAGCTGCTGAAGTTAACATGTGTGTGGATTTGTGGCGAGTGTTTTCCTGTTGGTTTCGGTTTCACATGCAACATGCAGTCTGTGCACTGTGTCGGCCAAACGGTCTAAAAGGGATAATTCCAGCGGAGCAATAAGGAATGCACAGCAGAGTATAGGGCAGGTAGACTAAAAAAAATGATGAATTCTAATTAAATAATTACGTCAGTCTCGTAATATTGTGACTTTTTTCTGGGATGTCAGAGAACACGTGGAGATTCTGAATGTGCAGAAAGTTTTGAACATGAGTAGAAAACCTGCTGAAACACAGGAGCTATTCAAGTCCAGGAATTTAGAACTTTAATTAAAATTAACTTATTTGAGGTTAAAAAAAAAAAAGTGCCACATACACATCCCCGAACAAAACACACAAAAGAGGAAGAGCCTTACTGCATATATTCTATTATTTTTTTATATTTTGAATTGTCACCTGCTGCCTACATTTTGTGCTTTCCTTTACATAAATTTAAACTTTTCCACTATAAATTGAGGCATAAAATTGGTGCAGACATTTTCACCAGAATGCAAAAAATGAAGTCTTCATTTCTTCAAATTTTCTGGGGGAGGACCCTCAGACCCTCCTCTTCATTTGAGTCCCCTCCACCAGTGAAACTAAACCAATGCTTTTACATAATGCAAGAAAACAGTTTCTGGGTTGACACACCGTTTATGGAGGTTTGGTCTCCTAATTTAGTCTATGATGTTGACAAGTATGCTAATCACACTTATTCCTTATTGACCATGATTACTGACTTGGCTGTTCATCTATACATGCTAAAATTGGGAGTTTGGCTGCTGAACTTTTAAAACAATTCCTGAGGATAGAGGAGTGATGAACCCAACCACTGAGGTGGAATTTTTAGGTTTGCGTATGGGGGCGCCAATTTAAAATCTGCCAGGGTCCAACATTGCCAGGGCCGGTGTTGGGGACGTGTCAGTCCCTACGCAATTCTATGCCCGAGCAAAACACACTCGACTTATTAAGTCCAAGCCACATACTGCGCCATTCAGTGAGTTCATAATAAAAAATAAATTTCTTAAATAAAATGTCGTTATTAAGCAGCGATTTGCGTGTTTTTTCCTCTAACTTACGCATTAACGTAACGTTAGTTTATTCATTAAACGTTATTTATTTATTGTAACAGTTATTTAGCAGTTCCAGCGTATGCCGACAGGTCGACGGGTTCGATAAAGAAGTGATCTTCTTCTTGATGAGGAAACTTTGACGACACACGAGGATAACATTAAATAGTCCGTTTTCTCTGTGGTGCTTGGCGTTGCATGCTCTCCATTTTCAGCTAGCGTTAGCGAACCGACATGGAGAGGAGGCCCAAGCCTAAAGTCAAAGCGCTGCACATTTATAAAGCAATGAACCATACAGGTCATACCTCATAAAGAGTGCGCACATAATCACTTATGTTAAACGGACGTTTAATGGGACTTAAACGGGTCACAGATAAAGATAAGTTGCCTACCTCCATCGGTTGATTCCCACGTTAGCGGCGCCAGCAAACCACGGGTCCAGGATATAAACACAGCGAACTGTGTCAGCTCCATTCAGGGCCTCCTGCAACGCCGGATTATCGTGCAACCGCAGACCTTTGCGAAACCAGTGGACTGAATTCACCACCATGACTACTTCTTATTCCATCATTAGAGGATAATCCAGAGGGATAGGTCGAAATGAAGCCAAAAAATGCACTGATTTAAAGGCTAAAACAGTCACAGTTTTGGAGACTCCCAAGAAACTTCATGAGCTGTAAAACGCAAACCTACACTGAGGGGGCGTGGATACTGCGCTGTGTTTAGATGTTATTATCCCTGCATCTGTCCGCTGATTGGCCAGATGGTAAAACGTCTACATGAATGACATAGCTGAAGAGCTTTGATTGGCTATGGCAGCGAGCAGCGGCGAGAAGCTGTGTCACGTTTCAGATGGAGCACTGTCAGGCTCCATCTGATATAAGACTGTAGCTAGAATGTGCTCGCAGTTTTCACACGGTACATATTTACAAAGCAGCCTGCAAATTGTACACTCGGATGAGCTAGCTGGTTTTAGAGCTTCTGGGTGATGGAACATTTTATATTGCTCAATTCTTGCACAACCATGAGCAAAATACTTGCTGTTTAGAAAGTTATATAATTGCACTACTGAAAGTCACTTGGCTAGGTCTATTTCCTAAAGTAGAGACAGTGATGGCTGCGTTTTGCTTTTGCAGGTCAATACTACATTTTTCGTTCACTGAAAAAAATCTCATCTTGTGCTAAGCTTTCTAAATCTGTGAATGAGCTGCCCAAACTATAGAAACAACTAAAAAACAAACTGCATCATATGCTGACTTAATAATCCCACTTGTCAAGATCAGCACTTTAGTTTTTTAACTCTTCAGCCGCACTTACAGTGCAGATAAAATGTAGGTCACTCAAGTACACACAGGGGTATGTTCAATTTAAATGTGAGGGTGAGGTATGTGATTCTGGAGAAATCCAATTCCATGACAAATACCAAGATACAGAGCAAAAAACAACACAGCAAGTACTGTAACAAACATTAGCTTAGTTGTGGGTTAGCGTACTGTCACTACTGCTGCTGTGAAGCTAACATGCAGAGAGGATGACACTTGCTTTTGGTGATGCTTCTGTGTAGTTATCATCCTACAAAAGAGACCGATTGAAGCACTAAAACCTTGTACTTTTCAGACCTGACCGTAAACCTACTTACTGTTTTGAAATGTTTTTACATTTATTTGCTCCAAAGTCACTTTCACAAAGCCTGTCGCAGCCGCTCACCACCAGCTGTTATTTTATGGTAGAAAAGTTACATAATGTTGTGTCTTTGCTGTCTAACGTTGTTGGCTATCTTGCCACCCAAGTTTCAGTGGCAGCAGCAATGTTAGCTAGGCTGCTTGGGACATAACGTCAGCTAATGGCAGAGGCGAGGAGACCCAAAAGGATTCACAGAGTGACCAAGCAAGAGGCTCCCGGACATTGGCAAAAGCTTTGGTAAATAAAAGGCTGCAAGACAGATGCTGAGCAGCCATTCTTTCTGTGGACACACAGAACTAGGCTAGTGAATAATATTGCTATGTCTTGTGTTGTTGCACTTGCTTGATGTTTGCCTGTGTTAGGAAAGTTGTGCACATACAAGTGTTTTGTTCAGCCATCGTGCTGACACGTACACAGAGGAGGTGTACTTAGTGGTATTTATTAGAACAAAACTGTGAAAACTTAAAGAGTCGAGGTGAAGTAGAAAACTAATAAACAAAGCAAGGTGAATCCAGAGACAGACAGGTGATAATCCATGCAACTGAGTATAAATCCACAAAACACTGGGAAACACGAAGGGCAATGCTGGTAACGAGACATCCAAAGAAACACAGGTGAACAATGGTGAAACAGTAGTGAACAATAAACTGGCTACTAACAACAGGAAGACGACAACTGATAGCAGGGGTGAAGACAACAAGGCACAGGGTGAAACACATTAGGCAATCGGGAGAACAGATGGGAAGCAAAACATGACATCAAGGGCAGACAAACTTCTAAATAAAACAGGAAATATGAAACAAACCAACCACCCCAGAACCGTGACGGTACCGTAGTACGCTAGAAAGCTGTAGACAGACTGAAAGTTAGCAGGCAGGGAGGATATCTGGTTGCTAGCAGGCTGTGATATAGCCTGGTGGTTAGCATGCTGTGGGTGAGCAAGCTGGTGGCTAGTTGACTTGAAATCCATCTAGAAGCTAGCTAGCTTCATAACAGCCAGACAGCTAGCAGGCCAGGATGAAGCTTGGTGGCTAGGAGGCCGAAAATTAGTCTGGCGGGAAGCTTGCTGAAAACTGGAAACCTCGGGCTGACTTGCAATGGAGGCTGGAATAACAGGCTCAGGGTGAACAGGTTAGGGTTAGAAAATGGAGTTTGCCAAGTAGTTCTTCCTGCATTCAGCACCATCACTTGACATGACAGTGTGACAATCAACTACAAACTAGTTCAGCTTCGATTTCTAGTTTTTGCCTCTGGGTGTCAGATATGGTTTAACCAGAACCCAGAAGCAGATAGAGACGGGAGGCCTTTTCACTGACTTTATTGAGAGGCAGGCAAGACAAGGTGGGAGCGAGTGACTGAGCTTGGTGGCAGGCTCGACGATAGGCAGGGACGGCAGGCAGTGTGTGCTCCTCCAGAAAAAACAGGCAGGTATGGGCATAAGGGAAGGCGTCCTCTCCAGACTAAGAAAACCAAAGACAAAGTTAATCACAAGGCATAACAGAGAACAATGGCCGCAACAAGGCTGGGTGCCAGCAAAAGACCTACTCTATACAACATAACAATCCAGCAAAGGCTGAGGAGAACTGCAGGGCTTATGAAGCAGCACAGAACGACATGATATGGATCAGGTGTGCTAATCAGTCTGCCAGACAGGTGAGTGAGCCAGCCCCATGCTTCCCCACCAGTCACGCCTCCTGTCAAACTGCAAAGGGTAGAGACCAGGTAGCCACAAGGAAGAGAGAGAGAGGCCGAGCGACAGAAAAACCAAAACACACCAGCCAGCCTCACTCACTCAGAAACAGAAAGTAACAAAACACAGACAACCACACACAGACCCTCCCAGCATAGTCATAGTTGAGACCTCGTGACACTGGGTAGCCAGGGGGAGTGCTCTAGATGCTGCTCTCTTTGCTTGTAATGCAAACTAGCTACATTTCCAACAGCAAAACCCATGACTGCAGAAAATATTCTGGACAAGGATACATTTTAAAGTATTTTTGCTCACTCTGCAATTCAGATGTATTTATTTGAGCCAGAGAAGAAATTCAGCAGACAAAGTGAGACTGCCGCTGCAGTCGCAGACATGGAAGAGGATATGGCCCCGGCGGGGACCATCCACAACCTGAGCCGCAGAAAGCAAACATTTGTAGTGCCTTTGCTCAAGTTGCCCTCCAATGCCAACAGAAACTGAATAATTTTGCCACAATGAATTTCAGCTTGGTCAGCTTTTGTTGGATGGTGTCGCAGACGCCAACTCTGAGATTGCCTGATTGTGCGATACTATGCATGAAAGTTTTGCTCCTTACTTGGACAAGCGTGCTGGAGACCTTCTTAAGGATTCGGAAGATAAAATGGAAAGACAACCAAGACCAGCAGGGCATAGAGGGCAGTTGACCATTGAGTAAGTTTTTTTTGTCACCTAAAGCTTTGTTAAAAAAAAGAAAGAGGAGCTGAGGTATATGGAGTAGGAAGACGTGGACAGACTTGCACATTCTGCTTAGAAATTCATCCGACAGTTGTTCGGAAACAGTCGATTGGTCCTCGCTGCCCCCTGGTCTCTGCACGGTAAATGACGCCCAACAAAGCTGAAATTAGGTCTGAATCTAAAATAAGTTGTGACACTCAAAAATCAGGTCCACATTGGGCTAAAATTGTACAGGGTGTGTGCAGAGAGAGAGCAACTTTTCATTTACCATAGCCAGCAGCACTGAATGTGTGTTACGCCCCCAAAATTCAGTCTGTGTGGACTAGAAGCTCTCAAACTCAGCCTCTGAGACTGGAGGCAGGGTTGAACTGGGACAAAAAAATGGGCGCTGACATGATGATGACATATTTAGTTTGATGTATCGGTGTCGCCAGGTAATTTTTCTGGGGCTCCAGCCCAAATGTTTTGACAGTAGCCTCGAATGTAGCTCAACAACAACAAAATATTTTATGTACGAATATGCAAGAATCTTCATGCACAGCATGTCTTGCAGGAGACCACTCGCAATAATATTGCTACATTTTGTTCAAAGTTCACGTAATGTGACCCCCCCACCATTACTCAGCAAGCATTTAACGTGAGCCCGAGAGAGAGAGAGAGAGAGAAATGTTGACAACACACAGACTGAGTGAACACAGCCTGGCCATAGAAAAGGGTCGCCACAGACAGAGCTGGCTACCACAAGAGGAGAGACTCTGCTCCCATGTGACAGGAGACAGGTAGAGACAGAGCTGCGCTTTCTAACCTCATGCCCTAAATGTAAAACATTAAAGAAAACACTTTGAAACTCCCTATTTACTGGGAGAAATGCCCAAATGTGAAATAATTGCTGCAATATGTCTAATCAGGCCACGAACTGAGGACAACCAGTGGGAACTCAGAATAGACTCATAAATATAATAATAATTCTGAAAAGTTTTCAAATTATTGTTTTCATTGTCT